CCCTTCACCCCGCACGTGGACTAGATGTATTGGTTTGAACTGAAGTATAAGTAAAGAAATTGATACAAACAAGCTATGTAGAAAGCATAATTATAAACGTAAACGGCCGATATCGGACAGATGGTCCATCAGGGCGGCGGAGATATATAAATCCTATGCCAAGAATTTGATGTGGGGGGGAAACGGGAGTTCCCCGATAAAACCCACTTTCACTGGTAACGACCAATCGGTTACCAGTGCCCGGTTAGTGAGATGAAATAAATTGGAAAGGCAAAGTGAATGCTGGTGCTGGTGGTTGATTAAAGTTTAAATAAGTTATGGATTATTCTAATGTTTTCCTTGGTTTTACTGTGGTTCAAGTTCCGGTATGGTTGTAACGGCGTGAAGTCAAGTCCTCGGTGTCGCTGGTAAGTGGGCGGAGAGCTATGAAAGGTTCGTCGAGTAGGTCAAGGTCGGGTTAGGGGTTGATTACAAGAGCGTTGGGTGAATTTGACGACGAGGGTGCAGAAAGTGGGACTGGGCTGAGGGGCGGGTTGCTGGTTTGTTAATATGCGTTATTGGTTACTGGTAGGACGGGTCTGGGTACCTTTTTTCCTTCTTGTAGTGGTAGTTTGGGTCGTCTTGTCTTGTGTTTCTGTCTCAGGCGTGGGCGAAGTTTGAGTTGCTTGGTCAAATGTGATAAGTTGGGTGGTAGAGTTCTCTTTGGCGGCGGTTGTCGTTCGGATGTTGTGGAAGGTGGGCTTGGGGGGTGAACTGGTGGACAAGGCTTCCGATATGGTTTCTCTGCTTTGAAGTGGTAGAATTCAAGAGAGCAGCCGTGGGTGAGGATGCAGTCTGCAGTTAGTTTGGAAGTCGTGATAACTTTCATGAAATGAGAGGGTGAACCTGTTTTCTTCGATTCGGTGAACTGCGTGAATCATTGAATTGGTTGTAGTTTCGAGGGCATGATGGATTTCTTCTGGTGTAAAGGGTATGTGGATGTTTCTTAGAAATACTGTGTGGAGACTGGCGTTGCTTTTGGGGGGTTGGCATGTAATGGGTGGGTTTGAAGACCAAGGGTGGCAAAGGTAACGGAGGTCTTTGGGTGTCCTGGGCTGGAGGAGTAAACCTCCCTTGCGGAGACGACGGGTGCGCTCAGGAAATACGCGGGTTTGTAGCAACGGATAAAGTTGGCGGTGTCCCGAGGTGAGAAGTCGAGAGGTAGTCCGTCGATAATTACCAGCGGCGTTGGATAGGAGACAGTCTGCTTGCTGGCAGGAATCATGATAAACTGGCGTCACCATTATTAGTTTTGTCACATAGCTTATATGGAACGACACTGGCTCAGAAAGTTTTATGTCAGCAAACAGATTTATCTGTTAGAGTCCAGTACACTGTATGAGAAAGCAAAAACGCAAGCATGTATTTGCTTTTTTAAATGCAAAAAATAAGTAAAATACAATTTCCAAAACAAAATAATTACAGTACTTTTTACTGGTATAAGTTCACCATGTATTGTTCATTGTAAAGAGTACTTGTGGTTTTACTATCACGTAAGACGATTCGAGAAAACTTGTATTTTCTTTTACGATGGTAGATAAATTTATATTCAACATGTAAATTGTAACCCTTTAAAACATTCACACGGATTTCAGTCCGAAAACTTAAATTGAGGAAATAATTCAATGCACCCACCAATAGCGCTGCTAAAAGACGTAGAACGAGAAGTTTCTAAATGGCATAGTTATTTTCAAAACAGCTAAAATTCAGGTTTGGTTACTGTAAATAAGTTGATCTTCTGGTATATACATAGAAAGAGAGACTAATATCAGTGCGAATCTTGACTGTTTGTTTTGAAATTTTATCATTTTCGTATAACTAACATCGAAAGAAAGTGCATTTGTTCATCGAAGCGTATTAAAATCTCTCAGATTTGCGACGTTTAATTAACTAATAATACTTAATAAAATTTAAAGAATGTAATATTTAAATGTATTTTCTTTTATCTCCAGGCTGGATTTTCAAAACTACTTAGATCTTACAGAAGGGCGTAACACCGCCATAAGATTTATATATATACTAGCTGAGTTACCCGGCGTTGCACGTTGAAAATTTAGACTTGAAATGTACAGATCAGTATTTTTTCAGTAAATTATTCAGTAAGTAGACAAAAGCTGTGATGCGAGAAATAAAAAAGCATTTAATCAAACAAAGCTTTATTTTAAATTAGATCGTGTTTGAGCTTGTCTTGTTCTTTGATCCTGAAGTCGTACATCATGTTGCTCATCTGTTTCTTACTCTCT